TCAAACAGAAGTACCTCCACAAACCTCACCTCAAACATACACTCAAATAAGTTGTCTTCCAATTACATACTCACTTTTAGAACTCATGTAACTGCTTATCAAACACAGACCAAAATTATATTTTATAAATACTAAACAGTATGTTAAAATTACAAATATCACGTAAATATGATTCTTGTAATTACTAAAAAATAGCAAAAAACAAAACCACACAAAACCAAGGTGAAACACTTGCCTCATATATTCATTCACCAAAATGTTACTTGGTAGCATGCTCCCATAAACACAACTGGTTAATTAACTATGTATCATAGAATACACCCATTCAGCTCCCCATAAACTTCTTATCTTGGTGTGTTTATATAAGACACTTGTAACAAAGTTTTTAAAGTACCCATAAGCATCAACAACCACTGTCAATCTTTGGTAGCAAAAACAAGTTCATTAGCAACTCTTGAGATTGGGGCATCAAAATAACCATAAATGATTACTTAACATACTTTATACAGAAGAGTGTAGAATGAAAACGACTACAAAAATATTAGCATCTTTAATAATTTATGCTAAGCCACAACTCATCTCTTATGTTTTTGAGTGTTCGGAACCCACTACTGCAACCAGCTCTAACCGGTTCCTTAAGGAATGTGGCTAGGCTGAAATTTTGGAAGTGTTGGCTTTGGTGGTGACCAAGGAGGAAGAAGTCTCTGGCTTCCCTGTTGCTGCAGTTCCCACCCTCCAAAACGAATATACCCACCGGTGTGAATTGACAATGTGGTCCAAAGAGCAAGGCAGGAAACGGAGTCCAGATCCTCAAAATGGTAGTACAGGGCATAACCACTAGGCCACCTATCAGTTCAGTACAAAAAGTACAACCCTGCGCATCATGGTGCAAAAGCTGGGGCCTAGGTTTCGCATTGTGCATCTCACACCTATGGAAATAACAAGAGGAGTAAAATCTATAGAAATCAACACACCCCAAGAAGGTGGGTGCTTGCAGAAGACTGGTGTCAACACTTTTGCAAAGGGGGTTGGCTACTGAGATAATGGACCGCAATTACAAGTCCAAAGTTGGAAAGAAACAAAACGTTTCCAATCAACACTGTTGAGTTTGACAAGAAAGTACTCAACACGGGCTTGATGTTTACCAACAGGGCTTTGCAAACCATGACACCCATCTACATGCTCATGAAAATTACTACCCCATTAAATCTAGCGTCCCTCAAGAACGAGTTTTAACTCTCAAAGACTTGGAAGGATTTGGGCTATGAAAAAGGGACTTACTCAGCAACGCCCAATCCCATCACTCTCAGGTTTTAAACGGTCCCCTTTACCACCAGAAAGACATGGTGACACATTCAAACTTCAGGGAGGAAGAGTTCCAGAGAAAGGGAATCTGCGAGCCAAGGATGTGCCAAGGTGATTCGTCAAGAACACATGTAGACTGTCTGAGGGTCAACAGTTCGAAAAAGTAAAAGGAGAAAACTTGTGAAACGCAGGGTGGATTCCCTCCAGAGGTGGAATCTCTGCTCCTGACTCACTCATCCTTCGCCATGTTGCTGTCAGCTCACCCACTGGCGCGAGGGCTTGCTGGGCCCATTTTCCCATGGTCTGTAGAAGGCGCTGCGAAGCACATCCTGCTCGCGCGGGGCCCTTCCCCCTCTGCAGCCTTACCCGGTGCAGAGAACGCGCCCCCTACTGACTCCGACTCTCATCGCCTTTAGCCGACTTGGCTGCGGTGCATTTTGGGTGGGGGCTGGTATTTTCTTCATGGCCATAAACCAGAAGCAACAATGCAGGTTTATAAAGAAACTGTAGCAAGCTGCCCAAGAGGTTTTCCCCCATCCTGAAGGTTCAAGACACAGGCGCAGGAAGCACCAGGGATGGGAGCTGGGAGTGTGGGGATGGACAGCACAGAGATGGCAAGCACAGGACACAGTTGGGTTGTTTCCCTCCCGAGCCTTTGTCTGTGAAATGGGGTTACGGCAAGACTGTCCAGAGGGGCGGGGGGGGAGGAGAAAGCAAGACTCGGTGTGGGTGTGTGTGGGGCGGGGAAGGGTCTCAGCCCGGGGCCCGGCCTCGGCAGAGGGGAAGAGGAGCGATCGCGCCTTTTCCAGCAGACAGGCATCCCGTGGGGGAGGGGAGCGGGCGGGCGGCCCAGAGGAGGCAGAGGTGAGCGAGGGTGCTCCGAGACAGCTCCCCATTCATTGCCCCGCAGAACGCCTCCCTGCAGCTTCTGGGGTCCGTTTCCAGCCACCTCCTGCAAAGTTGGGGCTCGGAACGCTCGTGCGAGGCCATGCTGGCCGGGTAGCAGAGGCCGGGACAGGGGCGGTGGAGGGCCGTGGGCAGGACGGGAGGGACGCTGGCCTGCTGG